CTAGGTCTGTACACTGGTGCATGGCACACTGGATCCAGTCACATCTGTGACCACATCTTCCATGTTTGTCTCACAATATGCCTTCAGTTCAGCCATCAAACATCTTACAACTTGCTTCTTGTAGTCCTCCAATTCACTTTTTATCCAAGCACACTGCTCTGTCTTAGACAGCTTTGGTACACCATCACACTGCTGTGCACTGTCTATAAACTCATAAAGCTTGCATATGGTCTTTGTTAACTCTAGGATCTCCCCCACACCCTGATCCACAGATGTTGCATCACTGGCAATTGAAGCTCTCCATTCAGCTGAATGTTCTTGTCCTAGGCAAGTCAGCAAAAAAAAAAGCCATGAGGTTACAACCTTACTCATTAAACAAATTGATGGTTGTATTTGAAAATTGTCCATCTATGTATTGGTGTAAATTTTAACAGGTTTTGTGCATTTTCCATAATATCAAATAGTGCATATAATAGTTCAAGATAGCAATTAATCTATATGAATAATCTTGAAATCAATTTTTATATGAGCTTTCAAGGTATGTGAATTGCATATAATTAACAAAAAAGAATATTGTCTGTAAACCAATTAATACACAAATGTAAATGGTATTTTATGCTGCGTTCAAACAAGTTCGCAGTTTCCAAATGAATTAATGAGTTCATTCAAACCAAATCTCCATCAAATAGTTGGCGTTTATATTTCTCTATGAATAAAAGTGAACACACAACACTGAAAAGTATACATGAACCCATGTCCCCTTATGTCCTGCATTTAAACTCATAACTCAGATGTGTCAGTCTATTTAATGCTACTGTTGTGAATGTGTACCCATGTGAAATTATTCTGCTTAGTGCGTGATTCAACTGACAGTAAGGGAACAAAAGAAAGCATAACAGATGGACCTGATGTCACCAGTTAGTTTTTTTTACATGTTTTTGTGCCAGGCGATAGTTCCGAACATTGAATGACACTGTTGTCTCTCCTGACTTTGTTGTATGTGGAAATTGCAAGTGCTGATACATAGTGCATTGGATGGCCACCTCTCTATCAAAATGGCAATTTGAATGCGCTACCTTTGCGTCGACCAGGCTCAGTCAAACACAAGCACCTGCGGATCTTCACCAAGGTTCGCCGAAAGTCGCATTCGTCAATGAATGAATCTCGGCCAGTGAAATAAGCCTTCCCATTGAGTCTGTGGTACACTCACCCAGGGTAGGGGTTCGACCTTTTTGATGTTCAGCCATGAGTCTGATGAGATAACTATTAGGCTACCAGTGACCAGTTAGTTCATTGCAGTTCGTATTGCTGTGGCGACAAAATTGTCTTCAAATACGAGTTGTTTAGCTTAACTTAAGTATTTATGCGTTTTCACTGGCAAATATGATACATCACCCAAGGCTCATACTTATAGATTGTGTACTTTACACAAAGTGTTCGCCTAGCTATATGTTATCTTGAAATTTACTTCTGGGCAGTAGTTTTGAGTATTGTACCGAATTTAACAGAAAAGTCTTTTTTGTCACCTAAAAAACACATTAGATCGATGAATCCCACATGCGTCATGCTACGTCGTTCTGTTAATCCTTCTCTTCTGAAAATCGTGTCATCATCAATAATAAATAATATTGGTATGAAGCGTATATCTTTGGAAATTAGCAATGCTCAGAGAATGAGATGATGGTTTCATCATCACACTCGGTCCAAATCATCTCCGAACCATAATAGCTTTACCCTTGTTCACCAAATCGAAGGTGAACGACAGTACAATTAAAGAACAAACATGACTCTCATGGGAACTAATAAATATATTACGTGGACAATACAATCGACGTTTAACAGCAATGTTTTTCGACAACATTTGTAATTATATATTTTAAAACATTTCTTATTTCATATATTTTGAGTTTTCGTTAAAAAAGTACACATCAGATCGATGAATGTGAGATACGTCATGCCACGTCGCCCTGTCAATCGTTCCTATCTGACAAGCTTTCTATCATCTGTCAGAATTACGATTGGTATGAAACTAACAGCTGTAGAGACTGGGAATGGTACACGGACAGAAGGATGGTCCGGTAGTCGCATATGAACAAGATATAATGCATTTTGTAAATCCAGAGTGTCACATCAGCGAATTCAACTGAAGCTTCAAGAATTCCGAGTAGCTCGAAACTTACCAGGACGCAACGTAACGAGTAAGGTAGGCTCATTATATTGTATACCACCTACGGTTAGTTCCAGTTCGTATATGTGAGTGTTTAAACAACTGAGATATAGTGAATTCATTTACAGCGTGTTTGGTTTCATCAAACGCACCTTGACTCCAGAGTGCCTGTTCAATATGATACCTTTCTAAGCCACTTCCTACAAATTTATAAAAATCTGTTTGTTTTTTATATTACTTTGGGTCACATGGAATTCCTCTTCATTGATAGATTCAACGACGATAACGGTTTCCGCGGACACACAAACAACAGCCAACCTTTCCAACAAAATTCGAACTGCTTATTAAATCGCCATCCAAATGCCCGGTCAAAAATCCAATAATAAAATAATATAAAAGTGATCTTCCTGTGCAAGGTGTCTTCGACTTCAGTACTTATTTTAAGCGCAACATAAACGCATTATTACCAAAGTATGTATATCAAGAACGGTTGGAAATTTGATGGAAGTTGTGCCAAAAGTGAGTCATCGCTGTTAATTTAGCGGCTTGGTGGTAGGGAGGTTTTCGTGGAGATACCGAACTAATACCACAATCTGATTGCCAAACTCACAAAACGGTTATAAAAGAACTTTGAATTTATCCGCATACTTTAACCCAGCTCTCCGTTGTAATATCTGAATCCTGTCTCCCCCTCCAATTCTTTCAACTAGTCAACCAACATTTTTCTATAGTAAATTGTGGAAGGCGATTCCCTCTCGAGCAGAAACATTGTTTCACAGACAGCTAGTGTTTTGCAACTAACTTGATTACCAGACCGTATTTTCGCTTAATGGGTGTTACAACTTACATCAAGCAGCGGAATTCCAGAA